AAATTTTTTAAAAGCATAATTGTTTTCAAATTTTTCACATGCAAGTTTTTAAATTTTAGTTTTGATCTTCTTAAAAAAATTTAATAATATATTTGGGCTGCATAATATTGCTATTGTTTCAAAAACAGGAGAGAATGGAATTATTCTGGACTTCTAGTTCAATATGAAATTGGTCTTAAAAGGAGGTAAAAATGGTCTAGCACGAAAGCAAAGTCTCAACCACTTGACGTTACCAAGCACCAAAGTATTAACAGCATACCTTAATTACCAAGTACCGCCATGCCAAGAAAATGCTCAAAACCTTTTCAACTATTTCTTAATTAATTATTAGCTTGCTCTAAGCATCAAACATGACAGAACAACAACAGATTGACGGTTGGTGTAACCCATATACCTATTAGCTCATCTGCTGTGCACCTCGCTTCCAGTCTCAGCCCGGAAAGATTCAGAGATATTCTGTGCTGATATTATTTGTTTTGCTTTGATGGGTCTTTAGCCTTTACTGCTTATCTGTGTATGTTATACTCTAAGCTTTCGCTCGCATTAGCTGACTCCATATATCGGTCGGTGGTGGCTTCCGCCTGAGGATCAAAACCAGCATTCAAGATGAGTATGTACGGGAGGGATCCATGGGGTGGCCCGCTCGAGATTAATGCTACGGACTCCGCCACGGACGATGATCGGAGCCGGAACATGCAAGATATCGATAGAGCCGCTCTGTCTCGACCGTTGGATGAGACGCAGCAAAGCTGGCTGCTGGGGCCGACCGAGCAGAAGAAGAAGAAGTATGTGGATCTCGGTTGCATTATCGTTAGCCGTAAGATCTTTGTTTGGACGGTTGGTACGCTTCTGGTATCAGCCTTCTTAGCTGGCTTCATCACCCTTATCGTCAAGACCGTCCCACGCCACCATCACAAGCATGGTCCTCCTGATAACTATACTTTAGCCCTCCAAAAGGCCCTTATGTTCTTTAACGCTCAAAGATGTGAGTAAAATAACCTTTGTTGCTGCATTTTCCTGCTACTGCTTTTACTTCAACTAATAAGGACTGATACTAATGCTCATGCAACACCATGCAGAAGCTGTGACAGAATATTAACCATTTAAGTGCAATAAGTATTCTGTCCTAACCTGACGAAGTGCATCTCTATGGTTTTTGTTTTTGTTGGCAGTCTCTCTTTCTTTCTTTCAACTTGGTGTTTTGCGATTTAATCTATTATATTATTTTTAGCCTGGTAGTATTTCTTTGTATGATGCGAATTTGGATAGAAACATACTGACGTCTATTTCCATGCATGATGAGCGTCTATGAGATGACGTATTATATGGTGACTAAAAATAAATTCCTTCACTCCACTCATGGATTCTATATAATCTATAGAATAATTCAGGATCCCGGATTCGCTATACTCATATAAAAGCATCTTTTATTTTTTTGAAGTTTAAGAAAAATTTATTTATTTATTTTCCCCGTCTTGTTCTGTCTGCAGCGGGAAAACTCCCCAAACATAATAATGTATCATGGAGAGGTAACTCATGTCTGCAAGATGGCAATTCAGAATCATCAACTATTAAGGATCTGGTGGGTGGTTACTATGATGCTGGAGATGCAATCAAGTTCAATTTTCCTGCGTCTTTTGCCATGACCATGTTGAGCTGGAGCGTAATTGAATACAGAGCAAAGTATGAAGCCGCTGGCGAACTGGACCACGTATTGGAGATAATTAAATGGGGGACAGATTACTTTCTCAAAACCTTCAATAATTCTGCTGATTCCATAACCACACTTGTTGCACAAGTAAGCAATATGCTTCCTTCCGTAATATAGAAAATATGCCGGGCAATGTATTTGAAAAAATTTCAAGTATCTGTTTAATTTGGCAGGTTGGCTCAGGGGATACTTCTGGAGGGAGTACAACTCCGAATGACCATTACTGCTGGATGCGCCCAGAGGACATTGATTATGATCGGCCTGTAACAGAATGTCACAGTTGTTCAGATCTTGCAGCAGAAATGGCTGCTGCTTTAGCCTCTGCATCCATTGTTTTCAAAGACAAAAAGGTTTATTCGCAGAAACTTGTTCATGGTGCCACAACGCTGTTTCAGTTTGCAAGGGAAGAAAGAGGCCGATACAGTGCGGGTGGTTCGGAAGCTGCAATATTCTACAATTCCTCCAGTTACTGGGATGAGTTTGTGTGGGGAGGGGCTTGGATGTATTTTGCAACTGGAAACTCCTCTTATCTAAAACTTGCTACTACTCCTGGCCTGGCCAAGCATGCTGGTGCCTTCTGGGGAGGCTCTGATTACGGTGTACTGAGCTGGGATAACAAGCTTGCTGGTGCTCAGGTACTTCCATGCAGCTTCGTTCTTATACCATGCTCGATGAACTTGTTAATCTGCCTCTCAATCTTGTTTATTGTTATTAGGTTCTTTTGAGTCGTTTGAGGCTGTTCTTGAGCCCTGGGTATCCTTACGAGGAGATCTTAAGGACGTTTCACAACCAGACAAGCATAGTAATGTGCTCGTACCTGCCAGTTTTCACAAGCTTTAACAGAACTAAAGGCAAAGATTGTTCTCCTTCAAACACTTTGATTGGACATAGAAATTCATGACGTTCAATTTTGTTATTCTAACTTGAGTGTCTTTATCAGGGGGCTTGATTCAGTTGAACCATGGTAATCCCCAGCCTCTTCAATATGTTGTTAACGCAGCCTTTCTGGCTACCCTTTATAGTGATTATCTTGATGCTGCCGATACTCCCGGATGGTATTGTGGACCCAATTTCTTCTCGACTGATGTTCTTCGGGACTTTGCCAAGACCCAGGTGCGTCCCATTCTGGTCCTTTACGCACCATGTTTGGGATCTGACTTTTTCGCTGATCCAACTTCTTGCCGGTATTCTTGCAGATTGACTACATCCTTGGGAAGAATCCTCGGAAGATGAGCTATATTGTGGGTTTTGGAAATCGCTATCCGAAACATGTCCACCACAGAGGTGCATCCATACCAAAGAATAAGGTTAGGTATAGCTGTACGGGAGGATGGAAATGGAGGGACACTTCAAGGCCAAACCCCAATACACTTGTTGGAGCTATGGTCGCTGGCCCTGACAAGCATGATGGTTTCCATGATGTTCGTACTAACTATAACTACACAGAACCAACGCTTGCAGGAAACGCGGGCTTAGCAGCTGCTCTTGTGGCACTGTCAGGTGGCAAAAGCGCTGGAATAGACAAGAATACTATTTTCTCGGCTGTTCCCCCAATGTTTCCCTCGCCGCCTCCACCTCCGGCACCATGGAAGCCCTGAGATGTCTATTTTCTTTCTTCAATAAGCAAGCAAAAGGACTTGAATGAACTGATGATTTTTAGTCATCCACCAACTGCGAAATTTAAGAAACTTTGAAGGTTTGGATGGACATCAACAGATGGAATTAGACCTAGTTTGTCTCGTTGTCTGGGCCAATAGTCAGCTCAGGATAGCAGTGAAGAACCCATCAGTGTCACTTGATTGAGAGCGTGTTTAAAATTTTGGTTGTACACGGTATGCATATATGTATGCATGGATGTATGTATGTTTTAAATATTGTATTCTCTGAACTCAATTGTTAAATGTTCCGCAGTTCTGTCAAATATTGACAGTCAACTCTAACTTCATCCTCTCACATGTTAAATAACTTTTCTTGTGAAATCTTCTTACTTCTTCCGCATGATGCAAAATTGTCCTTGAGTTGTTTTAAATTAGTGGTGTGCCAGTGAATCTGTGCTGCGCATTCACAAGCTAAAGTGATGCTATTTCCTGTACCGTAGGACACAATTTTGGGCAACCGTACGAGTGATTTCCATGAGTTCAGTGACCTCAAAATTTCCTTAGGGTATGTTTGGCTCAATGAGAGGAAGGGGAGGGGAGGGATTTTAATGGAGGGGAAGGGAGTGGAAGGATTTTAATATTATCTTGTTTGGATTTATAAAAAAAGAAGAGAGGGGAGGGAAAAATATTTTAATATGGACAATTTTGCTCTTATTTTATTTAAGGTGTGGGCATAATGGTCACAACATGACAAAATATAGACATAATGGTCACAACATGACAAAATATGGGTATAATGGTCATAATATGACAAAATATTACCCTTTCCTTCCAAATCCTCCCAATTTTGGAGGGGAGGTTGAAGAGGGGAGGGGAGGGGAAATTTTAAAAAAATTTCCCTCCTCTCCTAAAATTTGTGTGTTGCCAAACAAGGGGAAATGATTAAAACCCCTCCCCTTCCCTCCCCTCCCCCCCAAATCCCTCATACCAAACACACCCTTAATGAAGCCTAAAATTGAGTCCTGCTCTGCAGAGGTGAACCTGTGTGAATCGTTGTAGTTGCCGAAGTTGTATTTTGAAGATTGCACTATAAAATTTTAAGAGATATTTAGTGCAGGATAATCATTTTTTTTTTTTTTTAGGATCTTAGATGGCATAATATTTATAAGATTCATAACATGCAAGATTCTCGTTTTTTGGTGCGATAATTGAAAATTGTATTAAATATAATATTTTGGTCTGTTAGCAGAGCTAGAACTTAAAGAATGTACGCTTCCTATGATTTTGGACGGTAAGAGAATTTTTTAATATTTCATTTAATATAATATGAGGCATCTTGGATTCCATAGAATAAAGCGTAGATATTTTGAAATCACCTTTAGACTCTCGAGATTTAACGAGTGAGCATGAAGAAGCATCAAATAATGTCTCTTGTGTGTTTTCTGATATGGCTATAAATATTTTTTTTCCCCTTCTATTTTATTTAGTGGAAACGGGTGTGAAACACACCATAATTTTCCAAAAGGAGTATTCTGCGCTTTACTTACGATGGACACCGAATCTGATTCCTTTTTTCCGCCAACTCCATTGTCGCTGTACAATCCTTTTGCTTTTCGAACATGCTCATGTTCTTAGCTTCTCCGTTTATGTTTGATCATCGAACTTAGCCATCACAAGTAAGTAGTAAGAGACAAAAGCTTCCCAGGTCTGCCGATTGCTGTCTCCTCATCTCCTACACTCTTATCGCTCACCGTTCAGCCCAACTCCTTTAAGCCTTTCAAACAGCAACAAGAATTGTGAGCTAGATATGGAAGAAATACCAAACGAGTCCTTGGAATATACACCAACATGGATTGTTGCTGTTATATGCTCCATCATTGTGCTTATCTCTCTTTGCGTTGAGCGTGCTCTTCATAAGCTTGGAGTGGTACGTATCAATCACTTACTGTAATCCTTCTCCATTCCTTGAATGACGTTTTACGGGCTCCATATTTGCCCAAATATTGAGCGTTTAAATGCAATCAAAAGGCAGTTAATGGAAAAGCCTCTTAAAAGAAGTAACTTGGTCAGCAAGTTTTTGCTGACTCCACGATGGAGATGAAATTACAAAGTATTATGATATTGAGTTTATCTTAAATTTCTGATTTGTGTTACTGCTCCTTTTATTCCATCCTGTTCTGTATCATGACCGGTTGATATTTGTGGGTCTAAATGTAACAGTTTTTGAAGAAGAAACATCAGGATGCACTCAATGCAGCCTTGCAAAAGCTGAAAGACGGTAATTTGTTTATAATTTCTTAGCACACCTCTTATATGAACCGAAAGGCTCCAACTCGAGCCCAAATATGTGTCATTATTTTGTGCCGAATTTTCACTGAACTGCCGGTATACAATAGGTAGAAGATCCAACATAATTATCATATAATTTGCTCGATTTATCTTTCCTGAAAAATAAATCTGTTATATGGCTGTTTGGGCTAACCAATCTGTGGCTAACGTGTGTTGAGCAGAGCTGATGCTTTTAGGGTTCATTTCCTTACTATTAACTGTGTTCCAAAATGTAATAAGCCACATTTGCATTTCACCCCACCTTGTAAGCCACATGCTTCCATGCAAGAGGCACGGTGAGTCTGAGAAAGGTGCAGAGCACTATGACACTATCATCAACACAAGACACCTTCTTTCTACAACAAATGGTTCAGAGAGCTGCAGAAAAGAGGCATAAGAAATTACTCTGTTTTGCTTTATTTATTTTTGGGTTTATACTTATATGTGATGTGAAATGATAAAAATTGGTCTTGTTTGGCAAAGCAGGGGAAGGTTCCGTTGATGTCATTAGAATCACTACATCATCTCCACATCTTCATCTTTGTGTTGGCTGTTGTACATGCCATATTTTGCGTCACCACACTGCTACTCGGAAGCGCAAGGGTAATGCATTGCATACTATACTTGAAATAGAAAACTTAATTATGTGCTGTCAAGGGATGAAGATTACAAAATTGAGCTCCTCCCATGATTTGTTTATTGTTTGCCTCGAGCAGATTCGTCAATGGAAGACCTGGGAACATAATATTAAGGCAAATAAAAATGGTACGTTCAACTTTTAATACGGGAGAGAAATAGGCCTAGATCTGTAATTTAGGTTATAATGTCACACTTCTTTCCTTTTGTGTTCTAATTAGATATTCAAGATCTACATCACCATGAATTCTTCAAAAAGCATGCTGATGGATTTTGGAGGAGGGCGGCTGTTGTAGGTTGGCTGGTATGTCTGAGAATCAAGGCCAAACATCACATGACACACAAGAAAATGAGATACAAGCATAAAGAGTAGTTTTTAATGAGCATATGTTATTCTTTCTGTCCTTAATATAGAACCTAATTGTGAAGTTGATTTTGATTCTAAATATAAGATATATTTCTCATATTTATTAATTTTTCTTAAATTACCCCTATGGATACTTTGTTTACCATAATCAAATAGAAGAGGGAGGGAGGATATTAAGGGAGATAATTATGGTGTTTTAGGAAAAACATGTCAAATTTCTTATAATTAACTAACTTACCTAACTTCTTTAATCTAATCAAATTAGTTAAATAAGTCTTATATTAAAGACTGGAGGAATGTCATTCTTCCAACAACATCGAACAAAACAAAAATATAACTTGAGCATTACGGAGCATTCATTTAAATATCGTACCATCTGATAAAGAAAAGCATCTCAAATTCGTTGTTTATTACTGATGAAGAGTTCTGTTCTGGTTCATGTTGAGTGACAGATAGCATTCTTCAAGCAATTTTATGGCTCTGTTACTGAATCTGACTACATCGCTATGAGGCAGGCATTCATCAAGGTTTACATTTAATTACATTATTATTGACTTGTTTGCTACAACTGTTCCTTTCACGCTGTTGACTTGTTCAATTCATTCTGAATTATTCAGGAACATTGGCGAGGCGAACGAGAATTTGATTTTCACGAGTACATGATGAAGACACTTGAAATTGATTTCAAAAAAGTAGTGGGCATAAGGTGACCCGCAACTCACACCTACTTTTTTAACTTGACACCAATAAATTTAAAGTTTAAGCCTCCTTCAACTATTTTCCCTTTTTCTGTGCTATGCAGCTGGTATCTCTGGCTCTTCGTTGTTCTCTTTTTGCTGCTCAACGTTGCAGGTAACAAACTCCTACTATATTATGCCATAACTCATCTTCAACAACACAGGTTCAGAGATATGCGTAGTGTTCATATTTCCTTTGAATCCTTTAGATTTGAGTTCAATATCGGAATGATTATTTTTGAAGTGTCAGCTTAAAAAATGTATTTATGTTGCATTGCTTTTCAAGTACAAAATAATAGTAAAGTCAGAACTATATGAATTACATTCAGATGAAAAAGAAATGTGCAAATATGCAGTCCTCATGAAGATATGCAGGAGTTCAATTTAGAAAGTTGGAACTTCGAACTAGATCTTGCAATTTAGAAATTAACCACTTGTGAGCTCGTTGTGCAGGGTGGCACACATACTTCTGGTTAGCTTTTCTACCGCTTATAGTAAGTGACTAAGATTCTTCCTATGTTTTTTCTTTTTCGGCAGAAATTCTTCCTGTGCTCATTGAACACAAACAATACATTACTACCTACGGAAAGATCATTAGTTAAATTTAAAAGTCTAAAAGAAATCTGGGGAGTGTGTGGTTTACACTTTCAGAAGCCCAAATGTCCTTTTGCTAAACAAGACATAACAGAAATACCTGTGACGTCTGTGAATTAAAACATTTAGTTTCTTTAAGAGTTATAGATTGAGGTGGTTTGATTGATGTCAACAGCTTTTGCTACTTGTGGGGGCCAAGTTAGAGCACATAATTGCCCGTTTGGCTCAGGAGTCAGATCAGAAGAGAGCAGAGGAACGGGGACTGGAACAGTATCGGCCTGCAGAGCAACAGCAGGAGAAAAAGGCAACAAAGCAAGTGAAGCCTTCTGATAAATTCTTTTGGTTCCATAGCCCACGCCTTGTCCTCGACTTAATTCACTTCATCTTGTTTCAAAACGCTTTTGAGATTGCATTCTTCTTCTGGATTTGGGTGAGTCATGAGTGAACACAACACCAAGTCCTTACAGTAAACCAGATTGCATTCTTCTGCTTCTCCTTCTCTTAACATTTATGTTCTCTCATTTCTTTACAGTTCACCTATGGATTTGATTCATGCATTATGGAGAAAATAGCTTACGTGATCCCGAGAATTATAATGGGGTAATATCCGAAATATGCACACGCGCACACACATTAGCTTGGGGGGGGGGGGGGGAAGCAAAGCATATATAACATTCTCTACTCATCACTTGTTGCTGCTGGCTCGCAGTGTAATTGTTCAAGTGCTCTGCAGTTACAGCACCTTGCCTCTTTATGCAATTGTGACTCAGGTAACATATGAAGCCTATCTGCTATGTTTGTGACTAACAGGCCCATCTAATCTGTGTGTGTCTCTTTAATGAAGATGGGCAGCGGATTTAAGAGGGGAATGTTCGAAGAGCATTTTGAGAATACTCTGATAGAATGGAGGCGTCAACTAAACAAAGATGGTGGAGCCGCCGCTTCTTCTGCAACAAACAAAATGGTCAAGCAGCCAAACCAAGCTCCTCAGGTTTCACGAGAAGCAATCATCAACTTACAAGACATGCACTAGCATCATGCGAAAACAAGCTTGCAGTCTAAATTATTTCATGGCTATGTGGATCATTGTAGTTGAGACGTGAATACAGAATTTACATCTTCCTTGGTCTTCAGCATCTCTTTAACAATAATAATATAGAAATGATTGGTAGATGGTTGCCCTGGGTATTCAAAAAAGCACTTCTCGAAAAATAAGACATCCTCATAACACTTAAAAAAAATAATTTTACGCTACCTAAGATATGAGTTTTGTTTCGACTTGTATAAAAGTTCTTTTCTTCAAAATTATTGTGAATTTTCCAAAAACGCCTAGTTTGCATCATTTTTTATTTTAATTTGAATTAATATAATTTTTGGTTTCACATGTTTGTTTTTATTTTGATCTTAGCCCCTCAAATTTCAAATAATAAGTTTTGATTCTTTAAGTTTCTTTTTATTTAAAATATTAATTCTATAATTTAATAAAAATATGAATCATTTTACTCTTTGAGAATCAAAACTGATGATTTAAAACTTAAAAGATCAATATCAAAATAAGAATAAATTTGAAAGACTAAATATTATATTAACTTTTTTAATTTTATACATAATACTCCTCCGGTCCTTATTATAAGACCCAATTTGACTTTTATTTGGTCCTAATTATAAGACCCAATCCATTTGTCTCTTATATTTATGCATTTTTTCCAAGATAATCCTTCTAATAATGATAGTTTAAGCCAATATACTTAATTAGCAAGGATATTTTAGGAATGACAACATTTATTTATTATAAATAACCAACTTAACTTACTTCCTTAATCTCCTCAAATAAGTCAATTGGGTCTTATAATTAGGACCGGAGGAGTAGTTGTCTTAACCGTAATAATATTTTTATGACCTTGCAGCAATTTTTCTGATTTTATTGATAATGATTCTCCATGCATATTAAAAGGCAAATGTACAATTTTACCTTCTTTTTGGTTGTACAATTTTACCCCGAATCTAGATACAATTTACCCACAAAAAATTATATGTAAAATTATACTGCTAAAAAGATTACAGATAAAATTATAGCTGACAACTAAAATCAAGAATAAAATTGCATATTTGTCCAATATTAAAATATGACAGTCCTTCATTGTAATTTTCCCCCGGAAATCAAATAAAATAAAATAAAATAAAAAACAACAGCGTTAGCATTCACCTGACGGGGTAACATTTTTTGACGAAGTGATTATTGATGAATCATATTGAGAACTCGCATAACTACTCCTTAGCTTACAATATTAACAGATCGTAGCCATTGTTTCGCTATCTCACTTCGTAATTACAAGTTATCTATCATCATAGGTCGCATTATAGGCAGAAAAGAAAACAAAATTACAATAATAATTTGACACTGCACCAAATTTTACAGATATTAATATACAGTATACCACAGCATCATGGAATATGGGAACTGTGCTGCTTAGGCCTTTCAAGGGGAAGCTTCTCCATCTCAAAACCAACATTCCCCGAGACAGAAGAAGAGGCAGCTTCCTGATCAGCGGCCTCTGCCATTTTCAGTTCATTCAAAGTCCTTTTCGCATATACAGTGAAGACAACAATGGTAACTACTGCAATTATGAATGAAATAACATTGTAGACGATTTCGACGGTCGTCATGCGATGCTTCCCATACTGTGCATCAGCTAAGGTCCTTATTAATCGACCGCTGCTCAAAATTTGACAAATGTGAGACAACATGTTGATGCATCATATAAGAAGAAAACAGAACAATTTATTGGCGAGCGTTTGGTGTAAGGGAAGCAGATTCACCCTCTATTGCACAACAATCAGCTATTCAACGCATATGATGTTATCATTAGCATTCTATATACGCCTATCCCTTATAATTATTTTTTTGAATCGGGGCAAGATCACATGATGGAGCAAGAAAGTAAGGATAGAGACATTAGCACGACATGACAAATATTGAAGTGTGATGCGTAAGTTATGTGACGCATTAAGTCGTGTTGTGTTTCATACGATTCTTTGACGAGTCAGAAAATAACATGACCTTTTTGCGAGTGTCATATATTAATCAATCTTTTTTCCTTCTTTCCTTACTTTTTTGACATATTGCACTTTCTTTCCTTGTAACGTTGGGTGTGCAACTAAATGAAGCATTCCCCATAATTAAAGGACGAAACTTAGATGCAACTATTGAATGTTTCATGCCAGATGCTCCACAAGAAACACGACAAGTTGAGGCATTTTTTGAGGTTCTTTCAAGAAATTTCTTCAAACGTTTTTTTTTTTAAAATCCTTAATGGACAAACTGATATTACCAACACATTAGGAACTTCACCATATCATGTGTAAAAATGAGGAAGGAAAAAGAACAAACCTGTAGATGTAGATGAAAGCTTCTGGAACCATTCCAGTTATTGATCCAAGTAAGTAGGGCCAAAACCTCATGTCTGTCACCACTACTGCATAGTTGAATATAGTATAGGGAAAAGGAGAAATCCTAAATACAGCAACCACACGAAATTGATCAAACCAGCTCCCTTCCCCAGCAAGCCTAATAAGTGCAGCATTCTGAGGCCATCTCTTTAACCATTGCTGCACAACAAAGTTGATCATGAAATTAAGACAACATACACATATTCTCCTGTTTATATGTTTATTTGAAAAAAAAAGAATAACAATTTAAACCAAAAGTCTGGGGATGAAGCGCCATTGGTTAAAATATGAAGACTTACATGAATGCGGTCACGGAACAATAGTCCAACTAAGTAAGGAAGGACCATCCCAATCGTTGTTCCAACCATTATGATAACAAAGCCAAGGCCATAACCAAAAATCATCCCGGCCAGCCACATGGAAGGGCCAGAAGGGATCAAGAACACGGGGAATAAAGCCAGAGAAGCAATGAGTACCAAGGCAAGAACTGGACGGCCAAAGGCAGTAGCTTCCCATTCCATTATTGGGTAAAGAATCTACAACAAAAAAGATGAAGCTTCAAAATATGAATCGGTCATTCAAACATTTCCTTCAATCCAAGAGAACTAGGACAGTATCTTTCTTTAATTTTTATGTTCCCGCATTTTATAGCTAAATTAGGAAAAAATCATTAAGTAGATTAGTAAACCCAATCTATAGAAACCAAACAATGTTGAGGAGATATTTAAGCTTGTAAGAGGTGGGTATTAATGAAATGTGAATTTAACATAGTTACATCTTACATGTCATTTCATGATTAGCATGGCCCACAAATTCTGTTTAGACCGTGCCTACCTAAGATAAGAATTTCTCCAAAATTATCTAAAGACGGATTGACTTCATAGTGATGTAGTACATCTCAAAAGAGCAAAACATCAGTAAGCATATGGAATCAGAAAATGTAAATGCATTAATTTGCAGATCAGATGGAAAAATCAACTGCTTTTGTCTAATTATTGAAACCCACATCATAGAGGAGATATGTCAATTAGAACAAAATAATTGTAATGAAAAAGGAAGCACCTTCTCAAAAACAAAGGGAAGCCCCCATTTCACGAGAACAATGGCAAGTATAATAATCACAAGGCACCATGACAAGACTTTGATCCACCATAAAAAAGATTTGACTCCTGTTTTTGCTTGAGGCTGCAATGTTTCAGCTTCAGTAGCCCTTGGTTCATCAGATATGACCAATCTAACATATTCACTATTCCCTCTCACATGATGCCCTGAGCTTGAGCGTTTTTCCAACTCCTCCGATGGTTCTGGTGTCATTATAGGAATGACAGAATGCTACAAAAAATAGAGCGTATGCAATAAGTATAGATTCAATGAGGCAAAATTCAAGGCATAAACCCAATATTACAGATTAAAATTAAGTAAGGAGATTCAGGTTGCACAAGCAAACAGCTATTAATATCTTTCATCATCTTTCCCGCTTCGAAAATGAATGCCAAACGAAAAGGTTTTGAACCTTCGGTGAAACTTTTTCCTTCCATTTCTTCGCCTCCATTATTCTCAACTAAACATGCCGTTAAGAAAATCTCAGGCCACAAACACGTAGACAGCTTCCAGATTCTTTCTTGTTCTCAAAACAACTCTCACATAATTAATCCATAAGCCTTTTTTATTCACAGTGGAAGGAAAATAAGAGATCCAGAGGACACCTAAACTGATCTAAATAGCATATCAAGTCAATTTCCGGCGTCAAAAAATCGCCTGTGAAAACCTGAAATCCCTAAAAATGAAACCTTTATCTTCACTTGCAGCAATATTGACCTAGGCATGATTATTAGAAGTTACAACACAATCTTTACCTCCAACAGATTTTCACAATAATCTATCCTAATTGTATATACTTCAGAATTTCGTCATCCAGCCTCTTATTGTCTCAACCCAAAAGCCACAAACAGAAAGGAACACCTCAGGGACCGAGATAAACTACGCATACAATCTCTGCCCCGTCAAGTAATTAATGTGAAAACAAAAGCCCTTTCATGAACTATGAACTCAAGAAAATTAAAGAAAGCAGTAAATAGACAGCTGTAAAGAAATAAAGAAAGCAGAGTCTTGTTTGGAGGCGAGAAAAGGAGGGCTTTGAGGTAAAGTTGAGAGAAGTTTGGAATACCTTGGCGTCTCTTCAGAACAAGGCGCCGACCACCGCGGGCGGCGGAGGAGCTGGAAGGATGTTTTTTTGTTGGCGTGCGCGATTCTGACAAAGACCGAGATGTCCCACCCACCTCTCCAAACAATAAAAACAGCCTTCGTTTGAGCCAAGGTCAATTTTACCCTCGCGGTCGCGAATCTGAAAGTTGAAACTCCCTTTTCTTTTTCTTTTTTGGGTGGCCAGAGCGACTGGGCGATCACGAGAAACTTCAAAGTTCAAACTTCAAACGCCGAAGTCCAAATCAAAATCAAAAGCTTTTTGTTTTTCTTTTATACTACGTATTTTTATCTTTGTGAACTTTTTTTCACCAAAAGGTCAAGCACACTCCAACAACTTTTTCTTAATGTTTAAGCGAGAAATTTTTATGAAAAGATAATATATAGATGAAAAGATAAAATTACAGAGTAGAGTTAAGGACTGCGTGAGTATTCCAGGGGTAGGGGAAAGAGCACGAAAGCAATTAATAAACCATGATTTTGTGTAATGCCAAAGACTCGTTTTCCCATAAAAGAGGGAAAAAACATCAAATTGCAAGGCTTCGCAATTGTCTTCCTGCAACAAGCTGCAGTGAATGAACTTTCGTGTAACAAGCAATGTTGAGATGTGTCGGGTAAAACTCATGCGAGGTGGAGTTAATATAATTATTCAGCGAAGCATAGCATTAAACATTTCAAATACAAGAGAGACGGAATGGCAGTAGGCGATCTCTTCCATCTATTTGCCTGCATCGTTTCATTATTACATAGCACTAAACATTAGTAGATTGTGCTTCTATGGTGTACTTGATCTCCTTTATCCAAATTGACCAATGATTTGTTTGAGGAGAGAAGTTGGGGTTCCTTGGCACCATTGAAGCTGGCTTGTCAGCCACAAGTCGAGGTTGAGATCATTTGCAGGCTTCTTAATTATAGGTATTGAGAAATACCTTTGAAAGATTGTATTTCTTTCTTTCATATGGAGCGAAGGAGTAAAAATTTCCAGCTCAATGACACCTTACCCATCTTCTCATACAACCATAATAAGAGGAGATTTGTATGATGGGAATGTGATAGGGGTTAAATTGTCTAAATCAAAAAAAAATAAAATAAAGGAAGAAGTATGATAATATCATTTAATCATCCATCACACGTATGATTTCTTTTGTTAGTAATTTTTAGATGTGGGCTACTTTGGAATGCCAGGCACATAGAGCCCTACCTATGCAATTCTAAGTTATTTTCTTTTTAAGCTTTTGCCAACCATTGTATTCTGAAAAATATGTACACCGCTCCAGTCTCTCCATAAAAGATACTCTCTCCGATTTTTAATATAAAAGTTAGTTAACTAATTAGAGTAAATTAAAAAAATTAGTTAAATTAGTTATTTGTAATAAATAGATGATATTTTTTCTAAAATACCCTTATTAATCATGTGTATTAACTAGAACTAATATTTAATGAAATCTTTAATACGTATATTACTACAAAGACTACTTTAAAAAAATAGATAAATATGATACACAAACTGCCTATGTGGGTCAGCGATTGGTGACCTAGAAGTAGCTTGTTTTCACCAAAAGCCTGTTTGGAAAATTAGAGTCTGTTTGGGAGAGCTTTTGGACTATCCTACTTGGGGGCCGAAAGCTAGATTAAAACACACGATATGTTAAGCTCATTTGAGGTAGCTTTTGAAGTTAAAATCGTGCTTACAGTTGGTAGACCGTTAGAATAAAATAATTAGTTGTCATATTATTTTTCTCTCACTCCCCCCTCATTATTCTCTCATTATTCACTCAAACTACTCAGTCCCCATATGCTTGAAGTTATTTGCCACTGGACATCATAGATGGTGTGTTTTGGATGTTATGATGAGTGCTCTGATGAAAAAGGAGAAGAAAGTGTGATTGAAAAAATGAGCTTCCCCTATCCTCATTCTTTTCAACTGTTAATCTCCCCTGTTTTTGTTAAGACATGCGAAACCAAACCTTTTGAAGCAGGGTTTTTTTTTTTTTTTAACTACATATGCTCTAAAATTTTCTACTGGTTTCATTATCAAATATTCTATATGTGGTGAAAAAGCGGGTTTTTTTTTTTTTTTACACTATATATACATCCAAAATTTCTTGTAAGATGATATATGTATTACATGACTGTGAGCTTGTAAACCCCCCAATTTTCCCGTTTTCCTTGTCTTTTCTGTTGCTGACTAAGGCAAGAACGAACAATAAACCAAAAATATGTATATGACACTTTATTAGGGGCCTCTCCCTTACTAATGGATTATTTTCTTGGGATTGAGCTCTTTTTTTAATTGTGGTGATGACACTTTCTGTAATACCATAACCTTCAAATTAGACACATTTTGTATATAAACTTCATTACACACACAGACAACAATATTAATATATTGATATATTTACATTCCTAAATATCTGTTGATTGTTGAACAAATGATTTTCCCACCAAAAAAATGAATTCTTTGTAGAACTTTTATAGCACATTTTTTTTTTTTGGGATGATAGGATTGGCTTTTACTAGAATAAATATTTTAACGTCGATTTTCTAATTTTACCAGCGGTTGAATTCATAGCAAAAATGTCAAAGTTTATACATCGCAATTTATTGGTTAATATTTGTTTGAGAAGATCGAACATGTAGATTGGAGACACAAATGGGGCTTGCCTTGCAGTGCTAAATAGAGACAGGAATATTCTGAATCAAACCAAATCAATAATATCAAAGTTCTTAACTTGATGAATACATAAGTTATAGTCATTTAATTATTGTAATGACACTAGATTTTAATTTAAGGAGTGGGTGTGTGGAATCATATCAGTTATATACACACTCACTAATTATATTGAAGTTGTTTGCTCCAATCCAAATCCTAGTATCAATAATTATATTTGTGATCTTTAAATGACTCTTCACACATTTACATACACATACCGCTGGATTATTGTAAGTTTGTAACTATACATATGTGTGTTTGAATATTTTTTGTTCTTTGGTTGCTTGAGTTAGTCTTATCTATATTATTTTTCATAGAAAAATGGATCATGATAAACGAAAAGCGACATGGGATGCTTATACCACAAAAATTTTTATGAAGGCTTGTGTTTGAAAAAGGAACGACAAGGCAAATCATTCATAAAGCCTGGGTAGAACAATATTGCAAAGATATTTAATGAAAGGAGTGGGAAATCTTATGACAAGAAATAACTAAAAAAAAATAGATTTGATATCTTGAGGAAAGATTGGAAGCTATGAGAATCATTGATATTTGGAGAGACTAGCATAGGATATGATGCTGCCCCGAATACTATGTTGACCTCTAATGAGTATTGGCAACAAAAATTACTAGTAACTATTCATGTTCCTTGAGTTTTAATTTGGAATATTAGTTCAGACATAGCTTGATTGTAGCTAATTTTGTAAATATAGGTGAAACCCAAATTTCAAGAAGTTTAGACATTAGGGGCTGATATTTGCATCTGACTTGATAAAAATATTAGAAAAGATGTTTTTGGCTTTAGGAGACTATATGTGCGCATCATCGGTTATACAACCTGAGCCAGCACCTGTTACACACACTGACACAAAAAACAAGGGCAATGTTTATAGAGTCATGCTAGACCAAGAGGAAGGGCCGATGGATAGTGAAGACAAAAATTTTGGTATTAGGCCAACAACCAATATAGGATCAATAGATGACTTGGCTAGTTATAACTTAAACAACCCTGCAAATGGTGTATCTAGTAGTTCAAGAACCTACAGAAAGAGAAAGAGAGGTGAGGCTTCTGATAGGAACAAGAATAAAAAAATTACTGCCTCTAGACAAATTGCTGATAGCCTTAGTGTTGTAGCATCTGCTTTTGAGTAGCAAGCAAACACATTGAACAACCATCCCTATTCAATTAACAAGGTTTTGACACACCTAGCCAACATTGAAGAGCTTAATGATGACATTGAACTATATTATACATGTATTAAAATGGTTTCTCGGTTGAGATGGGCTAGTGAAGCTTGTATATCACTTATAAATGATAAACGCATGTTGTGGAGGTGGTTGATACCGGCAACAAAAGATCCAAACACATAGAAGGGACCTGTAGTTTAGAACTTAATAATTTTGCCTTCACTATTGTACTTTTTTAACATGAACTGGTTTGTATTTTGTAGGAACTTAATTAATGAATATGTAGTATGAATATGATAATTTTGACTTCTAATTTATGTGTTTTGTTTATTTGTTTACAGTATGAAATATATTTATTTACTACTTACAATGCTTACACTTTCTTCTCATCTTAGTTATAGGAAACATCATACAATAGCCAACTGGAATAAAGATACATTGGCTAATTGGAACAATGATTTATGGTGGAATGAAAGGGACCAAGATGATCATTCTACACGGTTGCCATCATAAATAATGAATTAACACAGTACAAAACAGTAGGTGCATGGGTGGATCATTATTGTCAAATGTACATGTGCAAACAGCTCTATAGAACTAGTAAGCAGACAAGAAATTTATAGGTGCAAGGCATTTTGGTAGCTCATGATGATTGGTGATCTCATGAAATATTCAAGGTGGATAAACATGTTTTCAACCTCTTATGTGCTAAATTGGTGGAACATGGCTTACGCAAAGCTAAATATGTAGGTATTGAAAAAATAGCCACTATGTTTTTAAACATGGTTGCGCATAGATAATGCAACAGGATAATCCAAGAATGATTTCAACGTCCAGGGAAAACTGTAAGTAGACAGTTTCATAGTGTACTACAATCTTGCCTAAATCTATCAAGGAAAATTATTCAACCCCTAGATCCTATATTTCGTGAACCTTATATAAACATTCTACAAGATTCTCATTACTGTCTATTTTTCAAAGACACAATAGGAGCAATTGATAGCACTCATGTACAACGTGTGGTCCTAGCTACAAAGCGAGACAAATTTGTTGGTAGGAAGGGAATTCTAACACAAAATGCCATGGCTGTATGTGACTGGGATATAGATATACTGTGTTGGCAGAATGGGAGGGATTTGCACATGATGCTCATGTGTTTGACACTGTTATTAGAACTCCATCTCTAAATTTCCCTTATCCACCTAGGTGTATATCTATAACCTTTAATTAAGTTAATTTTTATTATTTTATATTTCAATTTTCACAACATCACAATAGTTTCATTTATCATTAGGGAAATATTACTTTGTCGATGTAGGATATCCAACACCAAATAGATAT